GAGGGAGCTCCCCCCTCTACCAAAGCCTGCCGCTCTGAGTCATGAAATTAGAATTGAATGGGACAACTCGCTGAGGTCTGCACTCAGGAGCAGGATGCAACACGATTCTCCCGAGACCCTGGGAGCCGGTTTTCCTTAGGTGAGCCAAGGGCTCACTCGCTTGAGTAAGGTTCCTTGCGCTGAAGCTTTTGCGAGGTGAAGTTTAGGGTTTAACACGTTGCACAGCAAACAGGGCAGCATAAATAGGGGCTTTTCTGAGGCTGCCAGCTCTGGGTCTGGACGTGCATGTCCTGTTATAGGCTTGGGAAAGCCGGGGCTGAAGGTGGTTTTACTTATCAGTGCTGCTCTTTTGACTTCTTTCAGAAATGGATCTAAATGATCATGGGCTTGCAGAGAATAGCTGACTGGAAGTTGTCTCGTGATAGTATTTTCTGGGATCTTACAAAAAAAATTGTCTCCCCTCACTGCAGGGGAAACTGAGAAATTAGGTAGCATGGCTTTCAAAGGCAGCAAGTAAATCCCTTTTCCAAAATAACTTCAAATTACATTAAATAGTACTACGAGACTTATAAAATAGTTATTAAAATGATGCTTGAAATGATTGCTCTTCTTTTGAATCTCCTTGTCAGGCTCAGAGTTCAAAAGCTCCCTATGAAGTGGTATTTTTATCACTTTTTTCCGCCCCCCGTATTTAACCAGCAGTTTCCACGTCATTGCTGGCTCCCCTTCGTATTCTGTGAAGGGGAATTCACCCGCTTTTCTTCCAGCTCTCTCTCACCCCCTCCTTCACTCTGCTGAGATCATTCAGCCCCTGAGGAAGATTTTTCTAAAATAGCCTTTGCCCCTTGACCTTGGGTTCTCGAGTGAACCCTCGCCCAGGAGCTTCAGTTCCCCCGGTGAGGCTGGGTTGTGCTTTAGGACGGTGTAAAGGCAGGAGAGCCAGGGACCTCTTCTCTTGTGTCCATGAAGAGCTGGACACAGGTTACAAGAGATCTCCCTTCCCTCCCACCCAAAATACTTCTGCAAACCGGAATCTGCTCAGCCGCATCCTTGTGCCGCGAGGGCTGCCCACCTCGGTCATGTTGTATGTCAGATAAAATAATAGTGCAAGGCAGAGAGATGAAACCCCCAGTAGCTAAATCACAAAGATTCTCAAAATTGGCTACGTGAGCAGTAAGTACAGGAGCTTAATCCAAAGTGAGCGGCTTAAGGGTATCTGCTGCATCTCATAGCTTGTTTCTGTTGATGTGTTTCCAACCGCCGTTTTCTCTGTCTGGGAACTTGAAAGAACCTGAGTAGAAGGGGTTTGGGGGGGTTTTGGTTTTTTTTTTTCTCATTGCAATCAGAAAAAGCCAGCGCTCACAACTATCATCTCCTGCAAGCGCTCCTGTGGCTGCTTATTGCCAGTAGCATGAGTCACCGGCACCCGCAGCGCATTTGGGCAAGCTATCGGGAAGCTGATCGTTGGACGGGCTGTTGCAAGGCACCCTCCTGCTGAAAGGGAGACGGCTGGGCGGTAGCAAGGGGGTGCTCTCGCCTCGGGAGTGGAGATGTAGGAACCTCCTGGGTGCTGGAAACGCAGAGTTTCACAGGGAAAACTGCACCCGTGCTCCAGAAGCAACAAACCCCCATTTCACAGGTGATGCACAGCGGCAGGTAACCTCCGTAATAACACCACTGGGGTTATGCTGATATTGAAAATAAATAAATTCTGTTACAAGCATGCCAGATGTATGGAGATTTGCTTTCCTAAGCCTGCAGATGTGAATTGGCGCATGTGTGCCGGATCCTGTGGACGGGGGCCAGGCAGGGAGCCTGCCTTTGACTTCCAAAGAGCTATGCAAAGTCACACCTGGGAACCAGAGCACAGGCTGCAAATGTTTTAATTAAAGCAAAGAAAAAGGATTCATGTTGAAGGCAGTCATTACCTCCCCAGCTCTTCTAGGAAAGCCTGTTGCTGCAGACAACGGTAATTAAGTGGAATATTAGAAAGGATCTGGAAGAGTAAATCAAATGATTGTTTAGGCACCAAAACAAGGAAAATTCTTGCAGTATCTCTCAGTCCCACACAGTTTCCTTGCTTGGCTTCTGTCGCTCATGTGCCCTGGCCTCCTGAAGCTGCTCTGGGTCGCAGGTGGGCTGTGTTTGCCCCCTCAGATGGGAAGGTTGCTTGCAGGGAGGATGTCAATTTGGGAGGCAGGGTTTGCTGCAGAGGGGTTGCCTGGAGGGTGAGGACACTGCTGGGGGTGGTGGGTGGGCTGGGGATACAGAGCAAAGGGAGGAGGAACGGGGCCAGCTGAGATGTTTGCAGGAGCTCAGCTGCCCGTGAGCACTGCTTTTGGACTCTGTTATTTGCTTTTTTTTCAGCACAGGCTGGAAGAAAGACATTCAAAACTTTTAAGGTTAGTTAAGGTTAGGTTGTCATTAGCTGTATTAATTCCTCACACCCGTGCTGTGTAATTCAGTGTTCGCACAGGCAAGTACAGAAATCGAGGTGACTCAAGAGTTTATTTTTAACCTTCACTAATTTTTGGCCGGCCTCTCTGCAACATCCTCTGCGACAGCAGGGATCGAGGAGTTGGGTTTTGTCCCCAGACTTTGGTCTTTCTTACTGTGGCTCCTTTGATTTTCTGGGTGAAGGGAGATTTGATGCTCCCGTGTTTCGGTGCATCTGGGTTTCAGTGCGGTTTTGCTGAAGCGGTTGTGCGTGTCTGCTGTAAACTTTCCGGGCTGGCGTGTACTCGCTTGCTCTTTCCCGTTTGCTGTACTGAGTTATGTAAAGCCGGGATGTTGAGTGGTCAGGGAAGAGCAAAGCGTCTGAGTCTTTGAAATGTAACAAGGTGTGAGTGTTTGTCCGAGGTGGGTTTTTTCCCCCTTTTTTCTTTTTTATTCTCCTTTTGCAATGACGGCTGACCAAAATACCTGCATCAGTTGGTGAGTTGCTCTGCTCCAGCTCACTGAAACCCATCCTCAATCTAGATCGTCCTGATAAAATCCTCCCCCAGAGCCCTGTATATGCTTGGGTTTGCTATGTCTTTTTAAGAAAGCAAAAATTAAATACTGGTTTGGGGTTTTTCCCCAAGCTAGCAGAGCTGTGCGATACCCTCCCTTCCATGGAAGAAAGGCTTTTGGATTAACCCCAATCATATGTTAAGAAACGAACGGTGATTAATTTTTTTGTCACTTAATGGATAAATCACCACCCTCCTCCTCCTCCTCTTTTCTCCAATTCTTCAATTTGCTGTGGGACAACTGACTTCAAGCTTTTCATTGCAATTTTATCAGAATTTTGAAACTTTTCCCCCAAAGCAAAAGCCTCCTCCAGCTCACTCTGCTGAAGGTTGGCAGTATTTCCTGCTACTGAGTCTGCTTTAGAGTAAAAAGATGTAGGAACAAATAAATTACAATCCAGTTTTATTGGACACATTCCAAAAAGAGAGAGGAAGGAAAACACAGCGTCATATCACTATCATCGAAGTGTAAAAAGCTGCAATTTTCTCTTTTAATAGTTCGTTCACAAAAATAAAAAGACATGGTGGAAGGCTAAAGGGGTAAATTCCATCAGAAAGGGGAAAGTAGATTTTGGGCACTGGCGTGCCTTTGGGCTCTCGCTCCCGATTGCCTCATTTCCCATGTGCTGGGCTGAAGCCTGACTGCACTTTTCAGTTTACCAAATGTCTTTCTTTTGGCAGAGAAACCCACACACAGTGGAGATGCTGAAATACCCCCAGGAGCAGCGTGGACGTGGCCCTTCGGGCAGTTTTTTTCAGTGTATTTTTCACTGTCTCAGACTTTCACCTCGACTGCTGCTACCAAGACAGTGGGGAAAGTCAGTGAGACTTGGACTGTTGGATGTTTTTGGCATTTTTTTAAGCCATTCCCACAAAACCCAGCATGAGACAGGACAGCAACCCAATTTAACTGCAAACACTGAACTTGCTTTTGAAGAACTCTCTGCCTCAGTTATTATTTAGAATTAAAAAATGCTGTAATTTAGAGAACAAGCCCTTTTCCACATGCTTTGGATCAGTCACTGGTGGCTCCTCTGACAAAATACACCCACGAGATTACATGTAAGGTGCCACTATGGGCGAATTTTCATTTAGGAAGAGAAAGGACAGGAATGTGAGAGTAGTTGGGCTTCCTTTTAGATAAGCTTGTTGCAAGTTGAATCCGCATCCCTGTGGGTGGTAATTTCCAGATGGAGGTATCTCAGATTGCTTTCCTAATATTACGCTCTGAACCACTGGCCGGGCTCATGTGCCTGACTTCACACAGCTGCAATGCTCAGCACATCTGGAAGAAACATGTTTTTCGAAGCTCGGCTGTGAATGGGGAAAAAGGGATTTTCCGTCACACTCGGGTGACTCAGAAGTGACTCCTAATGGGCTCTGTGCTCCCATAATAAGGGATATTTTAGGAGGGGCCCCGCACTTGCAAACCACTGCCTGGGATCTTTCAGCAGCCTCCTGGGGTAATTCTACATAGCAGAAAAATAACCCGCATCTCTGATAAAGATGAGTTGCTTAACTTGAAGGAGCAAGTTTTGTTCATCCCAGCAGTGAAGACAAAGCAGGCTGAACTGAAGCCAGGTTCCCAGCCCATCCCTGGCCTTCTGTGGGCCAGAACTGAGCTAAAACCCCAAGTTGTCGCATCTTCACTGCTATTTGATCTGTCTTAGCTGATAGCTGTCAGCTAGCCACAATTACAAACAAGCTGCTCAGCCTCATTAAAAGCAAACAAACGAAAAACCCCAATTCCCCATTCAGAAAATCACTTAGGCCTGTGTTTTCCTTTTAATCCCATTTCAGGTACTTTGAGAGATCTGGTCAACACGTGCTCCGCTGCTTTTCTTGAACTGTGATCCAAATGCTTAAGAACTACAGTGCGAGGAGCCGGGACAGAGGTAGGTGGAGGGGATGGTGGTGTGCAGGAGCGATACAGGAGTAATGCAGGAGCAATGTGGGAGCAATGGTTTTGGGGAGGGTCTGATGTTGGTTTTACTCGGGCTGTGTAGCATTCTTCAGGCTTTGGCTTTTTATGCTCTTTTTGCTGGAGGAGGTTTTGGAGAAGATTTTGACACCTGGGTTCGTGCCTTTTGCACTTCCAGAGCTGAAATTCCCTCCGCTGGTACTCAGACCACTGCTGCCACCTCCTCCATAGCCAAGACCGCTCGCAATGCCGAGACCACTGCATCCTCCAAATTCACCTCCGAGACCACCACCACCCCCGAGTCCAAGTCCTCCTCCGCTTCCAAAGCTGTAGCCTCCACCACCGCCACCTCCAAGACCAAAACCACTTCCGCCGCCTCCTCCAAGACTGAAACTGCTTCCGTCGCCTCCTCCAAGACTGAAACTGCTTCCACCGCCTCCTCCGCTTAGGCTCAGTCCACCAGCTCCTCCTCCTAACCCAGCTCCACCAGCCATGCCAGAGCTGGTGTGCGTGACAGCTGCAAGAAAAAGCAACCAGAGGGTTGGACATCTGCTTGGCAGTCACCCAGTTCCAGAAAGCACCATCATCAGGACCTTGACCCACAGGACTTGAACCCAACTTCTGGCCCCTGTGCAAGCCGCTAATGCTGGTCGAGGGCTTGGAACGTCTTACATTGAGCAAAACCTCCCTTTTCCCAAGGTTGCTCACAGCCTCTGCTCCCAATGGGCCCAAAGCAAGACAAGCACTGCAATACTTACAGTAGCTGATGGGGTTGAGTCCCTCTCCGCTCAGCCTGTTGGAGGGCAGATGAAGGGGAGGTTAGAGCAAAATGGAGACAGGCAGGGGGAGAAACTGCTGGCAGGGGCAAAGTGATAGTTGCTATTATTCCTGCAGGGATTTTGCTCCCACCTGCTCTCCTCGCCCTCCAGCAGCTTCCTGTAGGTCGCGATCTCAATGTCCAGGGCCAGCTTGATGTTCATGAGCTCCTGGTACTCACGGAGCTGCCGGGCCATGTCAGCTTTGGCTTTCTGCAGGGCATCTTCCAGGTCAATCATCTTTGCCTTGGCATCTTTGAGGGCCAGCTCCCCACGCTCCTCGGAGTCTCCGATGGCCGTCTGCAGGGTGGCACACTGCAAGAGGAGGGATTGGGACTCCTAAATGCTGCTTTTCTTTTTGGGTAAGAGTCACACAAGGAAGAAAACCATTCTGCTTGGGGTGTTAATGAAAAAAGTTATGACTGAGGTCATTCACCCATAGCTAACATTGCTGGAGTTGAAATGCCAGCCTGGCAAGAATGATTTAATACATGTTATAGCGTGGTACCCTTTTCAGGAGGAAATTCACGTTTAGTGAGGTACATCATACTCTGTGGCTGCTAAAGTCCCTGATCAGGAAAGCAGAGCTGCGGTGCTAAGGGACCACAGAACAGGGCTCTGCGGGTTCCTTTTGCCATTCCTACCTGGTTCCTCGTGTTCTCTATCTCTGACCGGATCCTCTGGATCAGCCGGTTGAGCTCAGAGATTTCCCACTTTGTGTTGCGCAGGTCGTCCCCGTGCTTCCCAGCTGTGGCCTGCAGCTCCTCGAACTGAGGTTCAGAAGGAAGAGTAAACCGTCTGAGATGTCCAGGTGGACAAAATGTGGCTCAAACAGCCTCATATGGGGACAGCAGTAATTTTCCCCAGAAATGCATCCATGGCATCTATAGGTCTGTTCACCTTGGTTTGGTACCAAGCCTCCGCCTCGGCCCGGCTCCTGTTAGCAATGTCTTCGTACTGAGCTTTGACTTCAGCTATGATGCTGCTGAGGTCCAGGTCCCGGTTGTTGTCCATTGTCAGAATGACGGCGGTGTCGGACACTTGCGCACTGAGCTGAGCCAGCTCCTGCAAGGAAGCACACAGGGTCCCGGGCCAGCTGCACTTACCTTTTCAAATGCCATGAATGATGGCAGTCACTGTCCAGGGGGTGACAACAGGATAGAAATCAGGGGAGGAGGGTGTCTGTACCGCATCGTAGAGGGCTCGGAGGAAACTGAGTTCGTCGGTCAGGGCATCCACCTTGGCCTCCAGCTCCACCTTGTTCATGTAAGCAGCATCCACATCCTGGAAAAGAGCAACCATGGGGACATCTACAGCACCTGGTACCTCTTCTTTAGCTCAGTCAAGAACTGGCCAAGCCTGGAGATGAGGCTGCCCCTTTCACTGCTGCAGCGGTGCTGCCTGACTGGAGAGGCTGTGCTTGGCACATCCACCTGGAAGAGCACCAAGAGGGTATCTCTTGGCCAGAAGAAGTGCTGCGTGTAACTTTGTTAGTGGATAAGGAGGGGGGTGCAGGCCATTTGGCCTTGGTACCTAGGGTTCCCAGCACTGCTGACCATCTTTGATTCTACATGGTCTCTTTTGCCCAGGCAACCATGTGTGTATGTTGTGGGACAGGAGTGGGACAAGAATGCACGTCCATCCTCCGACCCCCTCCATTCCTTTCCCCCAAAACCGCAATCCAAATGACAGCTTTTAAAGGATGAGGATGCAGCTCCATGAGATCACCCATCCTTTAGGACTCTCGCAGCCTGTGCAACGGTTAGGGTTAGCCCAGCATCTGTAACATCTCCTGTCTCACCCACCTTCTTCAGGACCACAAATTCGTTCTCCGCTGCTGTGCGTCGGTTGATTTCCTCTTCATATCTGCAGGGATAAAGGGAAAGACGTGCTGGATCATACCGTGGTAAGCGGAACAGTTGTACGGGTAGGACTGCAAGGTTATCTGGGCTGGGTATGGCATTTCCAAATCAGCCTCCTGGAAACTGCCCAGCTCTGATTTGTGACACACCCATTTCTCAAAAGGTTGAAATGACATTTTGACATAATGCAGATGAAGCAAGGAGGGTAAAGCTTTTTTAGATTATTTTCCTTTGCAAGTGTCATCACAAGTTGTTGTGTTCTGGCTGAACTTGTGTTTTGTGGTTGGAAAAATGTCGATGGACCACCTTTCTGCCGCTGCCGAGGAAGGAAGGGGTTCTGCAGGGAGAGATACCTCACAGAAGTAGTATATTAGAGGGAGATTAGTTAGGTACCATGTTATGGGCTAGAGCACAGACTGGAGATATGTTTTTTCCCTTTCCTGTAGAAAGTTTGATGAATATCTCAGGCTAGATGTCTAACTTTCAGAAAGCTAAATTTAAGTGAGATTAATCCTACTGCCTAATGCTAAGCAGAACCATTTGCATCCCGTTTCACCCCAGGGTGCCTGGATGTGCCGGTAACAGGCACTCACTTGTTCTTGAAATCCTCAACGAGGTCTTGCATGTTCTTCAGCTCCCCGTCCATGCGTCCTCTCTCGTTGAGCAGGTTGGCCAGCTGCCGTTTCAAGTTGTTGATGTAAGCCTCAAAGAGTGGGTCCAGGTTGTTTTTGCCTGAGTTGTTTTTTTGACCCTGATCCTGCAGGAGGGTCCATTTGGTCTCAAGCACCTTGTTCTGCTGCTCCAGGAAGCGAACCTGAGCATTGGGAAGCAGAAGAGGCTTAGCAGAAGATACCTGTGAGCATGCTGATGGCCAAGAATCAGTAACTGGGACTGATGCATAGCACAAACCAAGGAAATCCCAAACCAAGAGTATTAAGTCCAGCTGTGAATATCCTCCAGATTATCTAGGGTTATGTTAGCCATCCAGTAGCTAAGCAAATCTGCCCTCAATGGACAGTTCTCTTTAGAGACAATTCAATTTAGCAAGTCAATGAGCAATCATCAGAAAATGTGGGTTCAGCTCTTTCATCATTTGCTTTCTTTAACATCCTTTGGTTTTTCCTTCTTTGTAAGAGATATTTATCTTCCTTCATTAAAGCTAAGGTCTGAGTACTACAGGTTAAAAGACAAGTACTTAATTACCTTTCCTTTTGCTCATATATACTACATATTTACCCAAGTAAAAGCCAAGGAAGGACTTAAGTTGAGTCAATATAAAAAGGACTTTAGCTCGCGGGCAATAAAACAATAAGGAATAACATGTCTGCTGTGATTCCCCACAGAGAGAGCTGTGTTAAGCAGCTAGGTCTGGACCTGAAACTGGCTTACTCCACTTGAGCTAATGTATCTTCTTGTTCAGGCACAAAACCTGGATCTAATCCTCTTATTACTAGTTACTTATGTCTAGTTTTCTGCCTTGTAACTGTTTAGAAGAATGTTCTTTTTTGATTACTTTAATGAAGACATGCAGATAGGAAATTGCAATAGTCTGTAGATCTATGAAGTCATATTTTTGTAGCTACAAGACTGTCTCGCTCCCTCTCTGTCATGATTCCACAGCACTTGATGAAGTCTCACCTTGTCAATGAAAGAAGCGAACTTGTTGTTGAGGGTCTTGATTTGCTCCTTCTCATCTTTTCGCACCTGATGGATGTTTGGATCTATCTCCAGGTTCAGCGGTGCCAGGAGACTCTGGTTGACAGTCACTTCTTGGATTGTACTGCCTCCAGGTGGACCACCACCAAATCCCAATGGGTTCCTGCCACCACCCAGCCCTCCACTGAATCCTCCCAGTCCCCTTGCTCCACCAAAGCCAAACCCTCCACCACCTCCCTGTCCACCACCAAAGCCAAGCCCACCAGCACCTCCACCAAAGCCATATCCACCACCTCCACCACCGAGACCAAGTCCAAGACTACCACCAGCTCTGCCACCACCAAGTCCACCACCACCACTACCGCCACCTCTCAGGCCAGAGCCACCACCAGCTCCACTCCCAAAAGCAGCTCGGAAGCTGCTTCCAACACCGATGGATATCCTCTTGCTACCACCAAGGTTGTAGAGGCTCCTGCTGCCAAAACCGCCGCCACCTCCTCCGATGAGCCTTCCAAAACCCCCTCCACCTCCTCCAGATCGTGCCACGGACATCGAACTAAAGCCAGCCCTGTTGCCACTTGGAATAATAGCTGAGGCAGCGCTGTAAGATCTGCCTCCACCTCCAGCTCTCATGCTGTAAGTTTGCCGGTTCATTGCAGCAGGAGATAACAGCCCGGCACTGGCAAGAAGCAGCAAACTGAGGGAGTGCAGCGCTCTGATGGAAGGGAGTGCAGGATGCCCTTTTTATCCCTCTGGGGATCTGGGCTTGGTTGCATGGAAGTCCAGTGATCAATTTAGTGCCTTCATGGTTTTGACGTGCCAGGCAGCCAACTGTCTTATTGAAACTTGTTAAAGACTGATTGCACTCAAACACACCTATTGGAGCCGGTGTGAATCTGCTCAGCTAAAAGAGTTACCTAACGCCCTGATTTTTGGCAGGGAGAGCTCTTAGTGCAAAGCCTCTGCATGCTTGCAAAGATGTATTATTTTATTTCTTTGCTGCGAAGCAAAAGAAAAGAAACAAAAAGGAGTGAAAAAGGGAAATAGCTACCCGGGTACGCCTATGCTACTTATAAGATGCAGTAGATCAGTACAGAGCTTAGTGGACAGTCCTCTGAATTAACTTGAGTGAAAGGCAGTGAGCCTAAAATGGCTAAATCTGAACATAAAATTTTCACGAGGCTTCTTCGCCTGAAAGCAAAGTGCGAGTGTGATGTTCATGAAGCCTGACGTCTCTTTCAGGGCTCTAATTTATCCAGTCTGCCTGTTCACACTAGTTAGGCAGAGACTGTCTTTTTGAGCTGACTGGCGCAAAGAGGTCCTGATCCATGATTTTCCTCTGAGACACTGTATTTAAATGTCACCTCAAATTTTGGCCATTTAGTATTAGGTATTTAGTCTATAGCAGGTTTCCTAGGCTTCCTTTCTAGAGATATGGGCACCTCCAGAGGACAACTCCATCCCACCCAGAGGTTGCCGTTGCAACGTCCCCAGCCAACTGATGATGTGATCAATGCATTTTCACCTTGATCTAAAAAGCATTTCAATGAAAGAGGCAGATTTTCTGAAAAACACTTTGGCCAGCTTTGTGGAACTGTATTATTTGCATGCTAACATTAAGATGTAATCAGTCTTGAGTTTCTAGCTCTTTACAGCTGTGATTTCTTTTGCAGACCTTTGAACCTTTCCGTTCAAAATGTTGCCAAAAGCAAAGATTTAACCAGCATGAAAAATACTCCCACAAATTCTCATTATTTTACTTCCTGGAGTCCTTGGGAAAAAGAGCAAATTCAATAGGGTGTGGTGACATTTTCTGGCATCTCAGACTTTGTGGAATTGCGGTGTTTAGAGTATTTTATTTTTCGTACTTAAGAACTCATTTTTCAGCATGTTGCTGTCCTGGTGGCATTGCCCGTGCTGTGCGCATGACTGGAGCTTAAACATATTTGCAGGACAGGACTCTACATGCCCTTCAAAATACATTAATGTGCCCCAGTGCTACAAAACCATTAAGTACGAGCTAAAAATCCCACTGGCATCTCTGGAAGAACAATTAAGCAGGTGCTTCGTGTTCTACCAAATACAGAAGACCAAATACCTGATTATCCTTGGAGAGATGCTGCCAGGCTGGCTCAAACCAGGAGAGTTGGGTCACTCAGAATTTCTTATTGCAGGGTGAAATTCCTGGTTGGTACAGGTTGGCTTGCTTCTCTTTGGAAAATCTTGGGCTGAATCTGCCTGGGATGTCACTTGAAATTCATGAACATCTATTGCCTTGATTATTTGCATAAATTTCAAAGCCCGGGTGTGCTGGTAAAATGAGATTGTCTTCATGCTTTCTTGACCCCAGTAAAGGCAGATTGTCCTGAAGCTGGCAAACGGGTTCAGATGAGATATTAGAGCTGAATGAATATAATGGGATTAAAGGTGGGGCTGCCAACAAGAAAGAGCGAATTGTCATTTTAGGCTACCACACTCTTCTTCCTTCAGCCCACTGTCCACAAGGTATGCGAGCGATGCAAAGGCTGGGTGAAAAATGCACCGTTCTTTACCAGGCTGGTTTATTGTGTGGAGGAGCTGAGGTTTGTGGGCTCCATACCCAGAGGCAGAGGTGGATTTTTGCATCTGTCAATTTGGATCAACTCTACTAGACTCTGTCGATCTACAAAGGGGCATGTCTGGAGTGACACTGAGCAGGATTTGGCCCCCAGCTGCCCCAAGAAATTTGCTCCTGGCCTTTTTTCTCCAAAATAGCCTGATCTACATGAACATTTTCAAGTAGGCAGCAGAAAACATGGGTTTTGCAATACTCGGGGATTGAGAAGGACAGGGATGATTAAAGGTATTCTCCCAGAAATGCAAGAGCTGCTGGGCTGCTTTGGTACCCTGGGGAGCCGGCTGGTTGTCGGTGTGCAGGTATTGTTTTGCAGGGAGGAGATCGACATAAATTATGAGCTGTTGGGGCAATGAGAGCTTCTTGTCTGGGTATTTCTGCTTGTTATTTACATACAAATGGGATGAAGTCCGAGTTGTATGCCTTGAGACAGAAAAGATGAAGATAACCTTTTGAAAAACATCCTCTTTTAGGTGGGTGGGTTTTGCCTTCTCAGCAAGGGCTGGTCCATTTGGATTTCACCACCCCCCAGCCCAGACAGTGTTGCTAAGGCATGTCATTTATTAAAACATTATTAGTGATCTGCTACCTGCTGATGGCATCCAATAAACCATCTTGCTTTCCATCAGAAAAGCACTGCAGACATGGGGAGCCTGAATCCACCACACTCGGCACAGCCTCTGTGCTGGGAGAGAAGCACGGGCAGATGCTCAATTAGTGGGAACCAGTGGTGGGTTCATCACCATCACGCCGGCGTGGACAGACCGAGCCTGGCAGGATGGTTGAACTCGCCCTCCAGCCATGGAGAGGTTGGGGCAGAGACAAACCGTGAGTCAGCAGCGAAGTCTAGGAAGCGGAGTGGGACGTCGGGGAATAAATTACGACACCCGGTCCTCAGTGTACCTTTCATGGGGTAAATTAACCTGCCCACGCCCTGTGCTGCTTCCAGACTGGATGAGGAGAGACAGATTTCTCCAAAGGGCAATTCAGAGCAAAGTTGTCTCAGGGGCTTTCGGCTGTGCCCAGGCGAGCCATGGGAGGGAAGAAGACGGCAGGGCCGGCCGGTTTTCCCGGCATCCAACTGTGCATCCAGCTGTGATGAGTGCCCCCTTGGCAAGCCCTTCCCAGCCATGTTATAGAGACCTTTCAGCAGGTCACCGTCCCTCGGAAACTGGGGACCCTCGCAGAGAAAAGGGAGGGGGCAACCTGATCTCACCTAAATCCCAGTCTCCTAAAATGATGGGAGAGGGTTTTCCCCTCCCTGCAAGAGATGTTGAAGGGGGACATCCAGGCATATCCTACAGACTCTGCTCTTCCCGTAAGCTGATGTGTTTTAAGGAAGGTGGGGCATTTGAGGAAGAAAGGCCCTGATGCTGCATTTTGGGAAGGTACACTTTTCTCTTACGTTCTTTTAAAATTAGCCTACTTTTGTGAGAGGGTTTCAGGGGTGGGGTGTGGGATTATTTTCTTTCTGTTACTACCTGAGCTGGTTCTCACTGATTTCTTTAAACAAGGGCCTGGCTGCTTTTTTTGTTCTGCCTCCAGAGATCCCAGACAGTGTGAGAGATCCCAAGTGAGCTGCACATCCCACGAGCGGTTAAATGTCCTGGTTTACACTGCCTTTCCAGACTTCCTTGTGGCCACGTTAATCTCTGGATGGAGTAAAGGTATGCAAAAGTGCATCAGGAAGGAGAGCAGACAAAGTCTCAAAAAAAAAACTTTGTTAAAACTCCACTTCTTGCGAGCGACCAACTCCGCCCATTTGGAGATTCATGTTTGAGAAAATATCTACGCTTTTGTAGTATCAGGGAGGGAAATAAAACCCGTGAAGCAAAGCATGAATTATGCATGTAGTTTATTGAAGATACAGCTGCAAGTTTGGAGTAAGCGAAGGATAATCAACTCTGTTCACTTACACATTAAAAGCATTAAATCCGTCTGTCTGGTACACGCACAGGAAAAACAACGCATGCATTTAACTACAGAAATATAAGGTGCTCATCTGTATGTAATTAAAATCTGCTCTACCAAACCTGCTGTAGCAACTTGGACCAATTTACATAAGCATTACCAACCCTCTCATAAACAGGAAAAATTGGATTTTCTGGTGTCATTAAAGAAGTTAAATAATAGCTGCAGCTCCATCTCGGACAATTAAAATGTGGTTTCTCTTTCTGAAGTTGGGATGACCAAATTTTTCATCCTTTTGCAATAGCTGCATTAGGGAAAGAAAATCCCTGCTGAAAAGGGGTCAAGTAGAGAAGACTGATTTAAGAGGCAAGATGATGTGTGAAGACAGGTATGGACTCTCTGAAATGAAAGTCTCACCTGGCTGAGACCGTGGGAGTAAGTTTCCCCCAAGCAGGACATGCAAGAGAAGGTGGGTTTTGATCATGCAAAGAGTTTTCGGCAGAGCGACTAGCCGAATTGTGTGGGCATGGGCAGCGCATGGTTGTGTGATCCCTATAGCTGTCAGAAGGAAGGGGAATACTGTTTTATTGCAGAAATGCTGATTATTTTAAAATATGATGTGTCGTTGCCCTCCCGTCTCTACCGGCTTGTTCTGACCACACGCACAGCTGTGCTGTACCTGCTCCCGGTGCTGCAGACTCCTGCCCCGGGAATGATGATGGCTCCCGGGCTGCACTGCTCCACGCCAGCGCACATGACGTTCCCCAGGTTGCCCACGCCAGTGGTGCACTGCACCCCCTCCACATTGGGGATGACTTCTCGCCCCACGCAGCTGACCGCGCTCCTCGCCCCAAATCCGCCCCCCACCCTGGGGACGCAATCTACGCTCCGGGTGCTAAAGCCAGTGTTGCTGACACCGAAGGAGGAGACCACCCCTAACCCTGCGCCGGCCCCTCCTGTCTTGACAGCGCATTTGCCTCCGATTCCAGATAGGGATCGGCACTCCCCGATGGTGCCACCACCGCTGACCACAGCTGTGGGAGAAAAACAGGCTCAGTCACTCCCAGAGCAGCTAAAACGCAGCTTATAAGGAAACTTATAAGCTTAAAAGACTTGTAAGGAAATTAAGGGAATGCTTCATTAGCTTACCTACGCTCACAGGGTTGCCGGTACATATCCTGTTAAGAAAAGAAATGTCTCAAAGATGTATTTAGGAGAATATTCCTCAAATACACAAGCAGGTAGAGGTGCTGCCCAGCCATTGCCTCCTTAGAAACCTTGCAAGTACTTCAGCTTTTCTGTTCACCCACATGTGAGGTCCTGGTCCAAATTGCCCACCGAAGCACTGCGGGGTTGGATCCCCAAATCCCATAGACATCTTAATATCCCATCCTCTTTTTGTACCACGAGCAAGGGATCTGACTGCAGCATGCTTGGTGCGCTGCGATCCAGCTGCCCTGGGAGGATGAGGAGGAAACAGGGGCAATGCTCCCCTCTGCACCCATGGGGAGAGAAAAGGGACGATGCACCCCTCTGCACCCATGAGGAGCTGCCTCCACCCAGCATTTCTCACTGCCTCCCTCTCCTCCCGTTGGGTTTTGCTAGCTATCGTTAGAAAGTGCAGCCAGGGATGCTCCTACCTGCTCTCTTCTCCTTCCAGCAGCGTCCTGTAAGTGGCAATCTCAATGTCCAGGGCCAGCTTGACGTTCAGCAGCTCCTGGTAGTCTCTCAGCAAGCATGCCATCTTGTCCTTGGCTTGCTGCAGTGCAGTCTGCAGGTCGATCAGCTTCTGCCGGGCATCTTTGAGGGCGCAGTCGCCCCGCTGCTCAGCATCGCAGATGGCCGTCTGTAGAGCTGCGATCTGCGGACAGTAATGGGCAACAGGGTGGCCAGTGGTGATATTAAGCCGCATCTCCACAGGGTTGCTCATGTACCCCCTTGTTTCTCAGCTAGGAACTGCCAGAGAGCATGGATTTAGGCTGGACACGTGATGGCCAGCCTATTTGGGATGAAGGGGATGGGACCTGTTGGCTGCACCCCAGTAGGAAGCATACAGCAAACACTGTTTCTGTTATAGCCAAACCAACTGGCTTCTGCTTATTTACTAAGTGAGAAATCAATTTGCTTCTTTATGTATCAACAGCAGATGAGAAGCTACAAATACAGGCTTCAGCTGGGGCGGGGGGGGGGTTCTTTGCAGCTCAGCAGGGTGGGAGCTGGTGAGGACAAAGCCCTTTGCTGGACAAGTTGCACACCCCGCTGCCCATGCAGCATTCAACCCTTTGTCCTACCTGTTTCTTCACATTATCCGACTCGCACTGCAGCTTCTGGATCATCCGGTTCAGCTCGGCTATCTCGCTCTGGTTGTTTCTCAGGTCATCGCAGAACTTGCCCCTGCTGCTGTGGAGCTCCTCCAGCTATTGCATGGGAAGAGGATGATGTTAATGCGCCCGAATCGCCCCTTCCAGGGAAGGTGGTGACTCTCCGGAGCCACACTGACGTCGGTGCTCCCAGGGAAGCACCCAGACATGACCTCAGCCCAGACAAGGCAACAGTCCCGGGTAGGTCCTAAGCATTTGCCCTTTGGGAAGGGGATGGTGTTCCTGATGGGTGTGCACAGAGGAGACCTCTCTGAAGCAACACTGTGATCTGCTGTGCTGTTTTTACAGAAAAGTCTTAAACCACAGTTTTAAGGTTGGGGGGGTGGTGGCATTACTTTTTTTAGAATACCACAGTGCATGCACGCTGTGGGGTGGGTTTAAGTTGTGTCATAGAGGACAGAAATGGTCCTCAGAGTTTTGTTGGCTAAGGGATTTCATTGCCATCTGTGCTGGTGGTGTGAATACTCACTCTGGTTTGGTAGAAAGCCTCCACTTCAGCCTTGCTCTTCTGGGCAATCTCCTCGTAGCAGCACTCAACACTTTTGATGATGCCCTCCATGTCCAGGTCCCGGCTGTTGTCCATTTGCACGATGACAGAGGTGTCACACAGCTGGCAATCCAGCTGAGCTCTCTCCTGCAAGATCCATCACATGTCAGCCCCCTTCCCTCAACCAGCCCAAGCCAGGCATGCAGGTACCCTTGGCAAAGGGGGGGGGTCTGGTGAGAAGGTGGAGGGTTGGGGAAGATTCTCCCATTAACGCCCAACTAGAGCACGGGGTTCTCCAGGTGGGTGACTGGTTTCCAGCAAGAGCTGACAGCTGGGACCTGTTTTGGTGGCACAACATGGGATTGCTGCATGCAATTCCCTAAGGAAGGGTGGAGAAACTCGCTTCATTGAAACTCGGCATTTCTGGCCGCGTCAGCAGTTTTCTGGGCTGTGAATCCCTCGGGGGTGAGTGCTTTGGGCCCCATTGCCTACAGACTGCTGGGAGGTGTTTGGCTAGAAAAGGTGCAAATACAAAGTGTCCCCTCTGCGTTTTGTTAAAAACTTGCTACATTTTAGACAAAAGTATTACTTTCACCAAAATATTTTTACTAATGTAGCTTAAAAAATGAAGTGCTAAGAATAATTGGGTTTTGAAGAGTGAGATGTTTCAGTGGTTCCCAGGGATGGTTTGGATTAGAATTTGAGAGGCTATTTTCATGCAAAAGATCCCTCCCTCTGCAGCCAGCGATATAGGAGACAACCGAGAATGCCCTTTGCCTTCCCAAAGTGTGTGCAATAGTGTTGTTATCAAATACCTATAAAAGAGAGAGAGATTTCTGGGATGCAATTTCAGGATTTTCAGAAAAGACACCTTTCCCTGCATTTAGTTTTGTTGTAAGAGCTCAGGGGGGCAGCAGATGATGCATCGTCCCTGGGGCAGCAAAGAGGGAGCCGGGAGCTCTTACCTCGGCGTAGATGCACTTCAGGAACTCCAGCTGCTGCCGCAGGAGGCCCACTCTCACCTCCAGCTCCTCCTTGGTCAGGTAGAGACAGTCCACATCCTGGAGAGACACCACGTATTCGGTGAAAAGAGGTGAAGAAACAAGGACTGTGGCAAAGCCCATGTTTTCTGTTAGATTTGGAGGAAACCTCACTATTTCCAGCCCTTAAGACTATCAGGGTTTGCGTTGTATGTGCTTACAACCTGATAGGGGTTCTCCAAAGTCATTGGGTTGCCCCTATTTTGGGGCTACCTGATGAGGACTCAGGCAGTGTCATGGTGCCAGGACTCCCCACTTCTCTCCCTGGCCCCACGCCCAGGTTTTGCCCACGCGCCTGCCACTCTCAGCTGGTCTCACCGGCGTTGTCCCTAGCGTGACTCACCTTCTTGAGGACCACAAACTCGTTCTCCGCAGCCGTGCGCTTGTTGATCTCATCTTCATATCTGCAGGAGGAAAGGAGAGGGGTGGGCTGCTGAGCCCTGGGGGTCCCGTCCCCACCACCCAAGCGGCCAATGCAGAACATGGGAAGCGTGATTAAAACCAGAGCCTCTCCCTGTTCCCTTTGTACCTCCTTTTTGATTTTTGCTTTGTTGCTATTTCTTTCCTCCCCACCGGGCTTTGTTCAGCAGTTTTAAATAGTCCATGCCAGCAGTATCAGTGGCTGGAGTGAGATGGCAGTACATCAGGCCAAACCACTAGAAGTGCAAAACCCTGTACCTCAACTGAAAGCTTGGATTGCTTCTTCTAGCCCTGCTGCTTTATGTGATGTTTTTTTGAAGCATCCAGGACTCTGCTCTGAGTGTTTATGGGGAGACTGTGGCCAGAATGCCCCAAGGGAGGTCAGGAGCTTGAGCAATGTTTGAAACTCCCAGGTGCAATGGGAAGGAAAGCCAGTGCATAATGACCAAGTAATTGGGACCTAGAAGAACTTTCACAAGATGATTCTATGAGTCTGACCTCCTTGGCGGTGGCTCAGGGAGAAAAAACATCTGAGATGCTTGATGGTAAGATCTCTGGAGAAAGGATTACTCTTTTATCCTGTGCTGTATACCACCAACCACCAAGTGTCCTGGTTCGTGGCTTAGCAGAGCACACGGAGCTATTAAGGAATATCTGCAGCTTAGATTAAAGAAACAATTCCCACGTTCCCTCTGAGAAGAGAGAATGAATCCCAATGGAGACGATGTGGATAAAGCGTGGGGTGGAGACAAACAGGTTGAGGGTTTTGTGGGAACGGATGGCACCAGGGACACGAGATTTGGGGGAGCCACAGGCATAGATGGTGTGGGAGATTTGATACAGCAAACCACGGTGGTGTGCAGGAGCATTAGGGAGAGGAAAAGCGGTTCCCTGTCTCTCTCCCTAAGGAAACACTGTGGTTGAAGAGCTCTCCCAGTCCATCACCAGCATCTGAGGTGCAACAGTGGGACCCCAGTACAGGAAACCAGCCCAGTACTGGTGTGCACTGCCCTGCTCCCCTCCCTGGGCCCCAGTTTTTGGACCCATCCAGTGCAATTGCATTGGCTTCACGCTCAGAAACACCGCTCAGGCCAGCAAACAACCCGGTCTACGGCTTCTCTCTGCGTACAACTTACTTGCACTTGTACTCTTGAACCAGGTCCCTGAGGCACCGCTCCTCATTTTCCAGCCTCTCTCGCTCCCCCAGCACACACTCCAGCTGCTTCCTCAGGTTGCAGATGAAGTTCTCGAAAACGGGCTCCAGGTTTCTCCTGGAAGCTGGGAGGACATACTGCTGCAGCAGCTCCCACTTGGTGGTCAGCACTTTGTTCTGCTGTTCCAGCAGCCGGACCTGGGGAAGCAAGAGATGCGAGAGTCATGCAATCTCCTCTTGTCCCAGGCAAAGGCGCTTTGGGTTTCTCCACTTCCAAAAGGAAAAAGTAAAAATAAAATCAGAAATGCACATGGTTAAGTGCTGATTTCTCAGCAGCCTGAGTGAGACCAGCATCTTCTCAGAGCTAAACCTGGTCCCACCCAGGACTTGTATCACAGGCTGAACAACATTGGTGCGTTCGCTTTGTGTTGAGGCCAATCATCTGTTTGACCAAAGCTCAGTTCAACCAAACTTCTGCCCCTGTGACAACTGGCTGATGGAGGATCCACTGCCTCCCCTGACGGGCTGAATACAGTAATGAGTCTTTCGCAGCACTAAAAGCGCCATCCAGGATCTCATTTGAATGTATCTGATGTAAACTCTAACCATGGATATTTATCATGCCTTTCACTTCTAGATTAAAGAGCTCTCTAGTACTTGAAAACCTTTATGGATCATGAATAAGTCATTTTTCAAATGGGAGGAAGCAGAGTTGCTCCTCTTACGTGGGTTTGGTTTTTCCAGCTGCAGAACAGCTCACAAGGAAAATCAAGATCAGACAGAGCGAAGGTGTCTCTGCCATTTGAAAAAACATTTCCTATAACACATCTCTAAATAGCAATGAAAACCCTTAGGCTTAGCTAAGAAAACAACGATAAATTACATCTGTTTAGGAAATCACCAAATCATTTCATTCACAGAGTAGAGGGGCAGAGAAGTTAAAATTGTTCATCTCATTTTAGCTAGACATCTGTCTTTCTACATCTCCTTGATGAAGCACACAAACTATTTTAAAAATGCAAAAGTCCTTTGGAGTTTATAGAGGTGTGATAGCAATGTCAGTTTATACATTTGTAATAAAACTTCCTATTTTGCCTTTTTACATTTCCGTGTCTCCATCCCTTCTCTCACAGGTTTTGATTTACTGTATCCCTGGAGCCGCTCCTGATTTAGCTATTTAGCAGATTGGTGATCATCGAAAGGTAAAATACCGGTGCGGTTGCCTTGGTGCAAGGCTTAAATCCAAACAGTCTCCAGGTCAGGACCACCATGGTCTATCAGAAGGGTTTACAATGTCAGGGTGCCAGGAGAAATAGCTACCGACGTTGTCTCTCTAGAGACAATCCATCCATCAGAGCCTATAGACATGAGACAAACAGCCTTCGCGGAGGGAAGCGGGGTCTCACCTTGTCGATGAAGCAGGCGAACTGGTTGTTGAGGTTCTTGATCTGCTCTTTCTCGTGGGTCCGCACTTGGCACTCCTCGGGGTCGACCCCCACGCAGAGGGGCTTGAGGAGCTCCGGGTGGATGCTGACGCCCCGAATCCCTTCAGATCTACCTCCGCCGAGGCCGATGCCAATGCTGCCACCGTAGCCTCCAATAGCCACGCCGTCCCCAAGACCTCTGTAGCTGCCCAGGCCCCCGTAGCTTCCGCAGTTACCAAACCCCACGACCGTGCCCACGCCAAAGCGGCCTCCGCCGTAAGCCACACCGCAACGTCCGACGCTGGCACCGCTGTAGACCCCACTGCGGCAGCTCCCGCCAAAGGAAATCCTTTGCCCTCTCCCCAGGTCGCAGACGCTCCGGCTGCTGAAGCCACCGATTCCACATCTCCGTCCCACTGGCTGGCAGACGGAGGCTGAGCTGCTGTTGCCCCTGCCGAGGCCGCAGACAGCAGACGCGGAGGAAAAGCCCCGTCTTCCCAGGAGAGAGCTGGAGGTGTAGCACTGTCGACTCATGGTGGCTGGGGGAGACGGGAGGTGAAGCGGTAACGACAAAGCAGAAGAGCAAGAAAGGAGCAGGGAGTGAAAGAAGGAGATCTCCTTTAGCTTCTCTGAGGCAGAGCCCTTCTCCTTATATACATTTCAGGAGGTGCCTGAGATGCAAAAATTTAATTTATCCACTGGGTTTGGTCTGCCTGGCAGCAAGGAATGGCTTCCAACATTTTAAACCCACAGCAAACACTTCTATCTCATACGAAATAATGTGGAAATTAAAATAAACTGCTTTGCTTGCAAGCTTCAGTTTCAGGACTTATATTTTACTTAATTAATCTGCTTCCTTATTGTGTAATTATAGTTTAGCAAAATAATTCAAGGGGTTTTTATTCATGGCTTGTTTACGGTTCGGTTTCACCACAGCGTGGTGAAAATAATTAAATGTTTCAGGACCTCCTGCAAAAATGTCGTGGCAATGCAACCTCTTCCAGGGTCTCGCGCCAGCTCAGGGCTGGCTCTTGAGCAATGACCAGTGGCGACAGGGGAGAAGGAAGGCATATCTGCCAAAGCACAGCACTGACGTTGTCGGGAGCGTTCTTGTAAGCATTCATTTCTTCCTCTCGTGGGTATGGCTACGGCTCTCATAGGCGATTCGGTTGCAGCCATGTTTGCCGGCTCGCGTGCTGATAAGCGGAGCAGGATGGGGTTGGCAGTTTCCTTATCGATGGAGTGTGAACTGCGCGAGATGGTGCCGAGGACGAATTCGATCATGGGGCAGATGCTCTGGCAAATTGGGGGTTCATGCACATGAGGTTGAGGCACTGGCCCAGCTGGGCTTCATGTGCCACTTAGAATGTATGGAATTGAAGATAAGGCATTTCTGGGAAATGCTTCGCTGCAGACAGAGATTTATTGCCAAATTATGTGCCTGGGGAAGGTGATAATGGTGTTTAGTATCTGGGTGTGATGTGACTGGTGCGCACGGTGAATTCACGCAAACGATAGCTGGAGGTGCAACAAAGAAGTGAAGCAAAGTGTTACAAACAGGTTGAGAAATGTTAGCTGGAGTGAACTTTTTTCCTCGTATTCCTGTGACACACCTATTTGACATTAAATTATTCTAGTAATATCTGTTAATGAGAAGGTACCATACCTTAATTAAAATTCTTTAAAAGATTTTTGAATTTGCTTGGAAACAAATAAAGTGCCTTTTTTGCCTTAACAAAGGGGTCTAATCACAGAATCACAAGTGATGGCGTGGCTTGCCCTAAGAAGTCTTTGCATCTTTGCTGAGGCAAAATTAACTGGTTCTGGGAGGATTCCTAGTCAATGCTATTGTAAACTTGAAATAGGTTGTCTTGAATTAAAAATAATGCAAAGGAATTATGATGATTTAGAATATTTGTGGAGTCTCTCTAGGTAAAGATCTTCCTTTTTTTTTTTAACAGGTCTCATAGTGGGTTGAAATGAACTATAAAATACTATATGCAATTATAATCATGCAGTAGTTCCGTTGTAGCTCCATTGGTCTGAGTATGTTAGGATGCACGTCTTGCAATGAGATGTACTTTCATTTGTGAGATTAAGATAGTTGGAGAAAGCAGATGAGCTTTTGGGCACTGCGTCCTTCATGTCATTCTGCCCAAGGTAATCCAAGCACCAGGACCTCTTGCTAGTAAGTGAAAGGGAGAATTATTTCGGAAATGTATTTTATTTTGTGCTGAAGTGTTGGTGCAAGCAGTGTGGAGGACAATTGGGTCCATGGTCTGAAGCCGAATCTGGAGCACTGCCTAGGAATAGAGCATTCATGGATGGGCTAAAACATCACATACAACATGACTTTCATGAACTCTTGTAGGTGGGCATAACCACGGGCAAGCTGAAAAACAGGGAGAAGCCAGGCCATCAGTAGCACAACTGGCTGTGGTCCTGCTTTCTGCATGACTGAGCCCTGCACACTGGCTTGATGCAGCTGCAGTGGGGCAGAGACGAGGCACCAGGGATGGTGACCAGAGATATTGGGACGCAGCCGCTGCTCCGAGCTCTCCCATCCAGCAGGAGCACAGAGAGAGACTCCAGCTGCTTTTCATGGCAAGAAGGACATGGCCCTTCTTCTTTGAGGGTAGTGACTTGCCAGTTTTTCCAGCTGTGAGAAACCTGGATCTGGTTCGTATCAGGTCCCTGCTTTCCTCCATGTCTCTGCTGGGCTGCCCACTGTAGAGTGCCTTGTGCCGCATGGGTGATACAGGCACCATTTGAGGGCTGTAGACCCTCCAAGCCCCTGGTTTTGTTGGAAAGCAGGGAAAATGTCACTTGTGGGACAACCATCCACGTTCATCCACCAGCTGCAAGCCCTGAGATCCCTTCTTACGTACGATGTGCTGCCAGGCTGTTTCCCCACAGATCGAAAGCCACAAACCTGTGCTTCAACCTTCGGCTCCTCCTCGCAGCCCTAAGAAGTGGCTTCTTCCAGGTGCCCAGCCTTGCACATCAGAGGGAGACGGTTCAGGGCAGCGCTTGTGGTTTCCATCTGCTGAGCTTTCACAAAGCCGGTTCGCAGTCACGTGGTGGAAGCCCTGAGCACTGGTTACATCAACTTCAAAGGAGGAAGCACTCTGATGTGATTTGGTCTTCTGAAGAGAAGGGTTGCAATCGCTTTTATTTCGTCGGCCACACACATGCACAGCACTGGCTCAAGTCAGACGCAAATGCCTTCTTCGTAGAGACCTTCTTCATGTCTCCATGCTTTGTCCTGGTGATTACACGTCAGATAGTGTTTGAAGAGCTGTAGAAAGGGACTAACCTTCCTCTTTATAAGGAAGAGATGAAACTGCTGTTTTCAGGCTGATGGGATTCAGCAAAGCTTTAAAGCAGCAGCTTACACCCAGATTTACCGGGGAAACCCCTGAGGTCCTTGGCCCTAAATATGCCTTGAACTGTGGTGGCTTCCATGAGACATGCCTTTGAGATTTACATGTACCCAGATACATTAGGATAAATTAATTCTGCATAAGTACCTTACTAAATTGGGACCTGTTAAGCCATCCATGCAGATAGGGAGAGCCTAGGGGTTTTTCCAACCTCCTGTTACGATTCCAGCTGTAACAACCCAGCCATCCAAGCCTGCTTTCTCCCAGAGAGAAAACCGCTTTTTAAGACCCTCCCCTGAAAAAACAGGGTTGTCAGGGCTGGCCATGCTGGTGCTCTCCCTCCCTCCCTGCAGGCTGGGCAGTTTTTGTGGCTCCTTGAGAAAGGGACCTCGAAGTTGCCATTAAAATGGCTAGTGAGGCCCCTGGGACATCTCCCTTTGGTTTCACGGGTCCAGCCCTCCAAAGGTGGCTGTTCCTGGTCTCTTAACTGCAACTTGATTCTGCTCCCACATCAAAGCAGATGGTGGATTTGTGGGGACTGGGGTAGAGATGATGGTCTGGGCTCCTTCCATCGCCACTGGGCACCTTGCTTTCCTCCCCATAACCTTGCTCCACAGCAGCTGTTCACCCTCCGCCTGGCTTGTCCCTGGCCATTACGTAGCTTTTATGCTGCTTTGGGGCAAAGAGATGGATAAGATAATTCCTGAGGTTCCCTCCAGGCCATTCCTGGAGCATCGGTGGTCACTGCCCATAGGCACCATCTACATTTGCAGTGCTTCCAGATAAGGCCTTGCCAAAACCTTTACCCTCCTTCTGCAGTCTCTCTGCTGGACAATAATAAACTGTGGGTGACCAATGTCAGTCACATCACCAGTATTGGTGAGAAGATGTTGGGGTATCTTGGACGGGGGTCTGAGCAACCTGATCCAGTTGAAGATGTTCCTGCCCACAGCAGGGGGGTTGGACTAGATGAGCTTTAGAGGTCCCTTCCAACCCAAACTATTCTAGGATTCTGTGATCATGGCAGTAACTAAGCAGCAGAGAGTATAGCTCCCAAAAGCAATGCCTCATGCAAGCAACATGGAGAGCTACCTACTAGCCAGAGCTGGATGTCTGCCCTGCCTGTGTCCACTGTGATGCACTGGGCATGCTTGGTGCCCTGACAGCAAATCCAGGGCAACTTTGTCATATTCTGGGCAGTTCTTTATTCGTCTGATGGAAAACCTGGGCGTTGGATGCAGAGCTACATGCATCTTTCAGACAGAGCTTCTGTGACTTCTGGATGTTTGACTGCAGTAGGCAGGGTGCCAGCAGCAGCACAAGGCAACCTGTTTGGATTTTTAAAATAGCCATTTCAATGGTGTTACCAGGTGACCTAAGTCGAGAAACACTCCTTCATAGTTCTTATTTACCATCTTATTTTGCAAGAGACAAATAGGTTTCGTACCAAACACAACAGGTGTCCACCCCCTTCCTTTGTAACGTTCCTCTTTTGCATAGAAATTTGTAAGGCACTTTTGCATCATCTGACCAACTTTGTGCTAACACTCGGGGCCCGATGGACTATTAGGGCTCTGAGTAATGGGGTGGAATTGGTATGGCAGTGGCATGATGAAAGCACAACAGCCAGGACTCAGCATTGGGAATTGCCGCTGTGGAGGCAGAGCAACTGCATGCCAAGGGAAGGGCACGAGGTTTGCACTGAAAGTGTTTTTCTGAGGAAAGGTGGGCAATCCTTGTAAAAAGCAGCCATGAGAACCACGTCAGATTTTGAGATTGGAAATACTGCTGTACTGTTTCACAGGACAGTTGTCTCTTCTCTTCTATGATACAGACTTTTTTAACCGGAAAGCGTGTTCCTTCATGCACTGAGCCAACCAGGGACTCCAGAGATGCCCTCCAGCAGCTGAGTGAGAGGGGAGAGTGTGGGAGGAGGGAAATTCAGCCACTGAGTTTCAACTAGTTCCCATTGAGAGGTCTGTAAATCTGTCTGGTGTGCACATGAGTATATATAATAATGACCATAGAAGGTAGCTGTTCAGTGTATGTGTGGTTAATGTAATAGAGTTAATTTTGCAAACTTATAAACAGGTTTCTTAAAAAGTGAAGTAGAGACGATGCACAAACATTGCGTGCAGCGGAGCAGAGAAC